TGAATGAACCCATCACAAACCTTTAACTTTGACACCACAACATCTGTCCTTGTTGATGATAGCTGATTTATTGTAGGGTTCACAGTGTAAACCATAATATGTATGACTTCTGGAATGTTTTTAGTTACATTATGTAAATGACATAGTATACAACTTATGTCTGGAAAATCATGACTTTGTCTTAAATGACCTTTCCACCAGAAAATGTTGCCTCAAATTGGATATTATGGATGAATAATCTATACTTCACATTTTCTAGGTAGTTGCACTACTTAGTAATAACCACTCAGTCATCTACACATAGATGGCTCCACAAATACTCAGTCACCTTGGAGTCAATTAGTATTCTACCTGACCTCCCTGATTTTCCTCTTTCTCCACTTTGTTGATGTTGTTGTTATAATCATTGATGTTGTCAGTTTTACAGTGTTACTAATAATACTAATAGCCAGATAAATCAAACCGAGACCACAAAGAATATCCTATTTATGTAGTTGGGTGGAACAAAAACAAACCATAGGTACAGGACCTCCAACCAGCAGCACCAACCGACGATGAGCAACTTTATTATAAAACAGCAATGTATTTTTTTCCCCAGTATTCTCAAAAAAAAAAAAAATGGTATCCTGGCTATGAGTTCTCTGGGCTTATTCGTTTTGCACATGTGTGGTTGTATTGTCCCGAGAGCAAATTACTCTACCTCCCCTATCCTATCTTATCACACTAATCAAGATATTCAGAATTATAAGCAGACAATCAAAGTTAACGCAAATCTTACTTTCCGGAAGGATTTCTGTGAGCCACGGCATCTTGCCTGTGGTCTCCCTAGTGCCTGTCAATGCTTTCCAGGCGCACTGCCTGCGTCCGTTCTTTTATTCCGCCGTGAGTCACCGTCCCGTCAGGTCCTCCTTCCCAGTACGTGTTCCGTACACGATCGCTTTCCTGGGAACGTCGTGGCTGCAAACGAAGGAATTGTTGTACGCGGTACTCTTTTTTTTTTCTTTTTCTTTTTTTTTGTCAGTGGAAAATAATGATTGTAGGGGTGTAGGGATGATGGCATTAATAATGATGATGATCATTATACGATTTATCTTTATCATCATTCTTAACCGTATCATATTAACGCGGTAAACTTTTTTTTTTTTGTCAGTGATTGTTGAGGTGTTAGCGATGATGGTATTAATAATGATGGTGATCATTATACGATTTATTTTTATCATTCTTAACCGTATCATATTAACGCGGAAACTTTATCTTTTTTCCATGTTAATGTCAGTGGGGAATAATGATTGTAGAGGTGTTAGCGATGATGGTATTAATTATACGATTTATTTTATCATCATTATTAACTATATCACACTAACGGTTGACATTACGTAGAGTACTATGCGATTTGCTTGGATAATTTAGGGGTAATAAAATTTTATTAATACCAACTTTAATGACAGCGATTATATAATATTGCTATAACAACATTAAAATAATTTATACGATTATCGAAAACAAAAAGTGATTACAGCCATTCAATAATAACAATAACAACAACAACAACAACAACAACATCAACAATAATAATAATAATAATAATAATAATATTAATAACAATATCAATAAATGTAATAATACTACTACTAATAATAATGATTACAGTAATACTATCAATAGCAATAACAACAAAAATAGAAATAATAACAATAGTAATAATAACAATTAATAATGATAATAATAACAATAATAATAATAATAATAATAATAATAATAATAATAATGGTTATAATAACAACAATAATAACTATAACTACTAATCTAAATAAATACCTATAACGATGATGATAATGCTAATGTTAATAATAATGATGATAATAATGACAATGACGATTATAAAAATAACAGTAATAATAATAACAACAACAACAACAATATTAATAATAACAACAACAATATTAATAATAATAACAACAACAATATTAATAATAATAACAACAATATCAATAATGATAACAGTAACAGTAATGATGATGATGATGATAACGGTAATATTATCAATAATGATAATGATAGTAAGGATAATAATAACAAGAATGATCTAATGATAATAATAACAAGAATGATCTAATGATAATAATAACAAGAATGATCTTATAATAATAATAGCAATAATACTACTAATAATGATAATGATAATAAAAATGAAACTACTACTACGACTACTACTAATAATAATAATGATAATAATAACAGTAATAATAATAATAACAACAACAACAAAAATAACAACACCAATAATAATAATAATAATAATAACAATAATAGTAATATAATATGAAGAAGAAGAACAGAATTAATCATAAAAAAATAATAACAGCAATAATAGTAAAAATAATAATAATATCCATAACTATAATAATAATAATAATAATGACAATGATAATATGAATATGAATACGATTATGAAGTTGAAGCTCGATATAATAACAATGACAGTGATAACGATAATAGTGATAATGATATATCAATGCGGCATTGCATCATTCCATCTTTCATATATATATATATATATATATATATATATATATATATATACACACACACACCTCAGTATATCTGACTTCGGTTTCGAATTTCTAAATCAATTTCCACCGAGAGCCCACGGGGAGTGTGTGTAAAACCTCGCTATTATTATTCATGTATGAGTAGATAGGTAATATCTATGGAGCTAGTTAGATTCAAGTTGCACATTCTTTTTAGTAGGTCGTGTGGCATGGTTTTTATAGTACTGGCCATCCGGTCTCATACCCGGAATGACCTAGGTTCCAGGCCAGGTCAGAGAGGATTGTTATATATCTATATCAATGCGGTATTGCATTCTTTCATCTTTCAATAATAATAGTAATAATGATGATAACAACAACAGTAACAACAGTAATGATAATAACAATGAAAAAATATATATAACAACAACAAGAATACTAATAACAGTAACAATGACAATAACAAAACAGCTACAACTACAACAATAACAACATCAATAATAATAATAATAATAATAATAATAATAATAATATCAACAACAATAATAATAATAATAATAATAACAACTACAACAACAATAATAATAATAATAATAATAACAACTACAACAACAATAATACTAATAACAGTAAAAATAACAATAACAAAACAACAACTAAACAATAATAATAATAATAATAATAATAATATCAACAACAATAACAATAATAATAATAACAACTACAACAATAATACTAATAACAGTAAAAATAACAATAACAAAACAACAACAAAACAACAATAATAATAATAATAATAATAGTAATAGTAATAGTAATAATGATAATAACAATAATAATGGTAATAAAAAATAATGATAATAATATTAATATTAATAATAATTATAATAACAACAACAATAATAATAATAATAATAATAATAATAATAATAATAATATTAATAATACATATTAATAATAGTAATAACAATAATAATAATGATAATAATGATAATAATAATAACAATAATAATAATAATAATAATAATAATAATAATAATAATAGTAGTAGTAGTAATAATAATAATAATAATAATAATAGTAGTAGTAATAATGATAATAATAATAATAATAATAATAATATGATGGTGAAAATGATGATAACAGTAAAGATAATGATAGTAATGATGATAGGGAACTGATGATGATTTTTTACTTCTAAACTACTACAACCAATAAACAACTGAGAACTTTATTGCACCATGTTATGAAATACGCGTTTACTAGCCACAGCTTCTTTGTGTTCGCCGAGATAGTTGCGTTCATTAAGCTGCCAGATGCTCGAAAGATCTCGTGACGTTAGATATTATCGTTCTATACGTATTCACGTCATTTTTTCATGCCTCTTAGTTTGGTTATTCATGTATCTAGAATATGTTCTGTTCGTACAATATTTATCAATAACCGAGGTAGCAGAGAGGAAACTGGAGGCTAGAGGCGGGACAGACCTATGACAGTGGGTATTGCTTATTCGGATCCAAACTACCTACTTACGTACCTACATTCCCTCCAACTTACACACACTCTCAGTCTCATGCTCACTCTCACTTCCTCCTCCCTCCTCCCTATGTGTTTACCAAATGTATCATCCTGTACAATGAATCCGTACAAGTATTTCTGGTGGTTTATATCTGAATATGTCGAATTACGATATATAACACGCCTTCATTCCCATATAATATTAATGCATCTAAAAAAATACATAGTTTACCCCAATGGAAGCAATTGCAGATCTACGGGAGGCTGAAGCAATAAATTGTACTCCCACAACCGAGTAATACAAAATATACAGAAATATGTGAATTATTTAAGGAGTACTTGGTAACAAAATGTTTAGTGAATTTATATTTGTATAAAATTTAATGTAAATTTCCTTTCCTGAAACCATGAATGTTAACATAAATGGGTCACAATTTGCTTCATTATATTCGGAAATGCCTTTTAAATTATCAAGGTCTGCACTGCATCATGGCATTAAATCCTATGTGCTTGTCACCCTCTTATTACACACAACTCCACTTTGAAAGATTCTCAGGAAGGTGAGCCTTGTCGACGGCAGTGCTACAAATGGAGATGCTAGGGGAAGGATGAAGCCTGTTAGGATGGCAACTGCCAAGGCACAATGTGGAAGTAGGTGGTAATTGACCTACCTACGGCCTTGCAGCCGCCAGTGGGATCAGAGTCGACGATGGGTCCCACTGATAAGGATAAGTCCGATATACGAAGCTGAGCCTCGCCCGGGCTATGGGGGAGCCCGGCCTGTGCCGACTAATTTCGACTCGCTTACAGTGTGTCAGCAGGTGCTGACTCGGCAGAGCTTAGTCCTTACCCACCGTGGTGCCCAGCCACAGCAGTAACCTCCAGGCGACAATTGCAACTTCTCGCGCCTGGACAGGGCGCGAACCGTCGACCCCTCGGATGAGAGGCCGACACGTTACCACTGTACTAGCCTGGAGGCTGGTCTCATCGAATCGAATAAAATACAGATAAAATGTGGAGAAATCCAAGGAGGGGGGGGGGGAGAAGGTAAAGAGTAGAAAATGGAAGCTGGTCCCACTGACTGCTACTTTCCCTTTATATGGGGCAACGTCGGCAAGGGTGTCAGAAGTGACATCCACCCAGAGTGACTACAAGAGACTTCACCTCAGGCAGGCTGTCTGGAACATCTGGTCTTTGCGGCAGGATGATAAATTACCCTGTTATCGAAGTAATTCAAGCGGTTGATTTGAGATGGCTGCCATCTTGGAGGTGAGAAGACCTGGCTGTGGCGCGGGCCAGAGTGGTGGTCACTATATCCAGGGGTAGTCATAACCACCAGCCAACTTCAAAACTTGCATTGTTCGTGGAGGCTTCAATGCAATATCTACTTGTGATTAACCTGGTCGTGAGATGTATGTTGGTTCGCATGGCTCAGCTGATTCCAGCATTAAGAATAGCCTTTTCCGGGACTTTGCTAGGTCCCAGAGACTGAGGATATCTGGCTCCTGATATCAGCACTGACATTGCTGGACATGGTATAGTGATACAGGTATCCCTGCAGAATTACTAACACCTGGCAATCGATATCATTTCCCGACCTGCTTAGGAGCACCACCATCCCTCCCCGGAAGTGGAAACTAGCAACTACCGTGACATTAAACTACACAGTATACCAGGCAAGGTTCTCACTCACATTCTTCTGAGTCATATCCGAGACCACCCACTAAGGCACCTAATCTGCCAAGCCCTAGTGCTGTGAATATTTGTGGAATATCGTCATGTGTTTGGACATGGGCTGCTCACAGCTTACATTGACTTCAAGAAGGCATTTGACTTATGCATCGCAAATTTCCCTGGGAGATCTTGAGCCTGTATACTAGCATTGAAAGTGCTATAAAGTGTGGTGTGTTTGAGCTCCATTCCTGTTAATTCAAGCAAGCATGTCAAGCAAGTCTGTATTATCACACTAACACTTATTAATACTTGCATGGACTGGCAAATGGGTAGAATTACTATATAAAGTCACCATGGATCAACACTAGTCAGTCAGGTCACAGATCTTGACTTTGCTGACAATATTGCTATCCTATCTGTTTGGAATCTGGTGGTAGTTCTCGATGCGTTTAATAATGCTATGAAGCCCTTGGGTTTTAACGTCTCTTGGACCAAGACCAAAATATGTGATTTTAGGGGCCTGCTGGGAGAACCTATGCTGTCAGTTCAAGCTTGTGGTGAGGACACTGTAGTCACTGTGAGCTTTACATACCTTGGTTCTATAGTGCATGATGCTGAGCTGTCAGACCAGGAAGTCAGAAGATGCATTGGCCTGTCAGCAAGTGCCATGAATCCAGTCAACAAGAGTATATGGAGATGCTGGTACCTGTACAGAAGGACCAAGGAACTATTGTTCATGGCCCTCATACTGCCGGACCACAAACTCAGGTTATATGAGCACCTAACTCATTTCCTTGTGGATGAACCTGCCCATCAGGTTGTCTTTTCACAAGACTTATATGACCCCACCTGATGTCTCTTTTCTTTGAATTTTTTGGAAAAATAGTTTTGTTTTCTAATGCTATTAATATCAGTGCTGCAATTATTATCATTGACATTATGATAAAGCATTATTAACAAAACTGTTAGCAATATAAAATAAATATAAATGTAGATATTTTTAAAAATCAAGCAAAGTGGTAAACAGGTGAGATAAGTAGAATTAGTAATTGAGTCCATAGTGATTAAGCACTTGTGGGTGTATAAATACAGTTAACAAACTACCCTCACAATGGACATGGCATATCTCATATGCCATCCTGGCAGCATGGGTTAAGAAATCTGTGTTCATTGAAAATACAAACTGTTAAAGCTGTAGAAAGGGATCTTCATGTTTATAACTCCTTCACATAATGTCACAATTCACATCCAAATATAGCAATATCAGCAGTGATAATGGCGGTCTTGAAAAATACAAATAATTCCATATATACTTCATTCAGATGAGGTAGATATGTGTAAACAAAATTTGCAAAATAAAATTAAAATGAACAGTGCATGTACCAAATGCAAATGATAAACCTTCAAATATATGTAATTTGTTCTTAACAGTTGCAACAAGTTTGTGTCAATAGTGTCTGTAACAAATATTTCATATTGATAAGTTATGGATATTAAAATAAGTAAAAATAATATATCATTTAATACTGTTCTTATATTTATTTTTTATTAAAAGAATGAAAAATATTGGTCATATCATTAATGGCATTGAAAGCTAATAAAATTCAGTGCCCAGCAATATAAAGTTTATTGTGTATATATTTACTTCAAGATATTCTGAACTTTCTTGATGCACATTTTAGTTGAAGTGCCAGTATTTTATGTCTGTTTATCTATATCTATCTGTCTTTCTATAAATATATTTTTCCCCTTATAAATCTGATTTTTTTTTAGTAAG